TCTGTAACTCGAGAAAAACAACCAGATATTTAAATAAAATGAAAGGAGGGGGATAGTTATGCCCCATACTCTTCTGGCACATTGTGTTGCATGGTCCTAAAAATAATACCCCCTTCTATCGCTCGGTACCCAGAACGAGAAGAATTCTGGAAAGTGCTTTGTAAGCAATCATTTGCAACCTCCCGTAAAACAGGAGGGACTTACTAGTCTGCAGAAATACAGTAAGGAGGGGAAATGAGGGCACCGTCACCTTAACCTATGGGAGGGATATATCGATCGTGATGGGAAAGGGTTCACTTGCTGGAATTCTTGTAACCCCATCCTGGCCTATGTAATCGATCTTGGCAGAAGCATCTCAGATCTGCTTGCTCAGAAAAGAAACACTTTTTTCATTTTAAGCGGGAGGCCAAGACCCTTGTTGTGCTCCCGCTTTGAACCGGCTAAGTCTTGTACTACAGAGATGTGTAACTAAGGCGTCCAGTTTCTCCTAGACCCCTCTGCAGGCATGGATGTAGGCCTAGAGTGGTAGTAACATGGTGGTAGGGAAATACGATGAAGCCTGTGACTGGGAACTAACTCATCTTATTAGCTATCGTGATAAAGAATCTGGGGTGTTGTGATGACCCAGGGCCCCGAACGGAGGCAAAGCACTTAGCTGGTCAGAATAATTGTCTTTGTAAGCACTGCCAACGTTCACCCAACAGCCCCCACATATGCTGGCACAAGTGCAATAAAACAGTCAATGGAGTTAAACAGTTCTTTAAAGTAAAACAGATAACAAACAAAGTATGATCTTTTCAACGCCCAGCTTGCCTGTAACCTGCAAACTGCAAAACTGAGGACAGCAAGAAGAACTCAGCGGGAAACAAATTTGATCCAAAATACAAAGAGTCCAGGTACAAGAGCGCACATCACAAGAGTTCACATTTGTTCCCGGCAAATGCCCCACCCCACAGCGTCTCCTTAAATACCTACTCCCCAGGTGTGCCTTGTGGAGTGGGGCGTGACAGCTCTCCTCCCGAGCAAGTGAGCCTGCCTCCGTTGTTCCCTCCTCCTCTCTGCTCTCCTTGCTCTGGGATCTGGTGGGGAGGGGCCTTGCTCCTCGCCTGAGCTCTGCCTTCCCTGTTCCAAACTTGAAGGGCCCTGGCCTGCTTCAGCCTGTGTCCTCCCCACAGTCCTCCAAAGCCACAGACACCCCCTCCTGGGCCTCAACTGGGAACTCCATGTCGTCCTCAAGAGTCAGGCTCGGACGGACGGAGGCATGACACTGTCCGTTTTCCAACTTAACAAGCTCAGCAAACCAAATTTCAGTTTAAGGAGGTCGAACCGTCAAGTGAAATGAAGCCGCTGGAAGACATTTTGCTCCTCATCCAAGAAGCTTCTTCAGTTCATGAAGTTCTGGAGAAGCTTTTGGATGAGAAGCAAAAACAAAAAAAACAAGAGAGTCCAGTTGTCTTTGGGAAGACTGTCTGAGATCTTCTGCCAATGCGAAGAAGCTATAAAGTTTCATTTGTACAAGGGGCTCCTGCATGCGGTGGCCACCTCTCCTATTTTAAAACAGATACATCTCCATGGAAACAGTACTTGAAGACATAACCCCATTTTAAAGCATTGTCTGAGCAAGAGAGGAACAGGAGAAGTTGGAAATGGCTCCTCAGTCTTGGGGCAGCAGGTTCAGCTGATATGATAGGTCCACATCATCTACAAACTGCTTCCTTCGTTACCTATGAAGAGTCTCAATCATCCAGGTCATGGCTTGTCCCAAAGGTGCTTTTTCAAGAGGCACCTGGATGTTGTTTTTCCTTGAAGACGTTTCGCTTCTCATCCAAGAAGCTTCTGCAGTTCTGACTGAATGGTGGAGGGTGGAAGGATTTACATTCTTTGCAGTCATCTGTTCATTAGAGTCATTGGAGGTTTATCTGTGCCCTCAGGGTCAACTGAACAGTGCAAATGGGTGTGGAACCTTCTTGGAACAGCGGGAAGGACTGTGTTGTAAACAGGGGAGAGGTGGGGTTCATATCCCTTCCTCAGTCAGAGCTGAAGAAGCTTCTTGGGTGAGAAGTGAGATGTCTTCAAGGGGAAAACTATGTCCAGTGGCCTCTTGACAAAGCCCCTCTGGGACATGAGCTGTATTGCACCATTCCTGCTGGTGGATGAGCTAACCAAGCCAGCCAACACCCAACCATGTGTGATTTAGCACCAACTGAATTCTCCAAGGGCTGATTCATAAAAAGAGCTATCTTGATTGTCCTTATTGGGACAGTCATAGCAAGCCGCTTGATTTCTGCCAACTGCCCAGGCCAGGGGTAGGCAACCTTGGCTCTTTTATGACTCGTGGACTTCAACTCCCAGAATTCCTAAGCCAGCCACGCTGAGGGGAAAGGGAGAGCGTTTCCAAGCTGAGCCGTGCTGGCTCAGGAATTCTGGGAGTTGAAGTCCACGCGTCATTAAAAGAGCCACGGTTGCCTACCCCTGGCCCAGGCCATCGATGCCAACAACGAATCCACCCTAGATTCAGGGTCTGAATAACAGACCGTAGTTTCTCCTTCGAGACCTGCCAGGGACGGAGCTAATTGGTGTCACTTGTGCGGGCGGCAATGGACCATCTGCCAAAGGCTATTTTTCTGTTCTTGCAACTATGACACATCGGAGCCACGAGGTCAGAGTAATCCCTCCAGGGTTTTGTGGAAGGAAGGATTCAGGGGAAAAAAAAACACAGACCATGACAATGTTTGCACATTGTCTTTGGCGCAGAACGTCAGCTGAGTCGCCCCCATGCACAGCACCAAATAGCCGAATTTGGGGGCGCCGTTCCGTGCCGATTCGAGATCTGACTTGAAAACGGAGCTCTCTGCTAGCCGTTAAGAATATACCGTAGTTGACGATCCAAACTCTGTCCTCCACCATCAACCCTACCTGAGCCATTAGACGCAATCCTCGCTACCTCTTCATCTGTGGGGGACACCATGCATAAAACCACGATCGAGCACAGATGCCTCGCGTCCTTCCCTTCTTACCCCAAAGTCGAAGCAATTGAATGAGGAATGGAAGTAGTTCCTTGGCCCCAGACCGTACATCTTCAGAGTCATCTCGGTGAGGAACAAACCCAGGAAGACAAATTCAGCAAAATCTAGAAGGAAGTAGCAGAAAAAGGAGGAACAGGTCACGCCCAACGGGTGGGGAAATCGTTCATTGGGAAGCAACGTTCTGGAGAGAAAAAAACCCAACCTCCCCAAACAATTATCTTTCTTATTCTGCGTTTATCTTCTTAATTTAATGGCTTCTCCACCAACTCAGAAAACGTCAAACTGGAAGGTTCCACTGAAATCCTCCCTTGAATGATAAAAAGCAAACTTCCTTTAACAAAAGAAGAGTCATCCCCTAGGGGTGTAAATAATTGCCCACAGAGAATTCCAACACTATTTTACACTTGGTCTAAGACTTTGTGTTGCTGAAGCAACATTGAAATATTGTTCTAGCTTCCAACAGAGTCCTCTCCTTGGGATATTATGCCATCCTGGATTGTCTTGCTTTGCTACAACTTAAATCTCATATTTCTATCACTTCTTTCTTTCACTCTTCCCTTTAAAAAAAAAACACCTCTTTTTCATCATGATCCACACAGCTACCCATCTGAGTTAAAATTTCCAGTTCTATTGGGACCTCTCTAGCAGTGTTCACAATTAGCCATCCATCCATCCATCTTCCTAACCAAGGTCTCCTGTTTTCCACCATCCTTCCAGCTGATGGATCACTGTCCCAGTTTCTTCTAACCTAACCTTGTCTATGTAATCGGAAAGCAAATGCAACCCCATAACATTTGACCATCCCTGGATTTAATATAATACAGAATGGAATAGAATAGAATAGAATAGAATAGAATAGAATAGAATAGAATAGAATAGAATAGAATAGAATAGATGAGATGAGATGAGATGAGATGAGATGAGATGAGATGAGATGAGATGAGATGAGATGAGATGATGAGATGAGATGAGATGAGATGAGATGAGATGGAGTAGAATAGAATAGAATAGAATAGAATAGAATAGAATAGAATAGAATAGAATAGAATGGAATGGAATGGAATGGAATGGATGTGATGGAGTAGAGTAGAGTAGAGTAGAGTAGAGTAGAATAGAATAGAATAGAATAGAATAGAATAGAATAGAATAGAATAGAATAGAATAGAATAGAATAGAATGGAATGGAATGGAATGGAATGGATGTGATGGAGTAGAGTAGAGTAGAGTAGAGTA